GAGATGTATGTTTGCATGTATGCATATAATGCATGCATGCAGGCATGTGTATACCCGTATAGGCATCAGTCAGAGCCGCGAGCTTTTGCAGGCGCTGTGTATGAGTAGCACTGTCCGCGGGTCCTTTGTGGCAGATTTGCCTTTCCCTCTCACAGCCTCCGTCTTCCTGAACAGCTACCTCATCTCACCGATGCCGTTGTGGATTAGCCTGCCTGCCAGTAAGTAGACCCTAGGTCAACAGGAGATGGATGTCAGATCGTTCTTGCTGCATGCTCGTCCAAATGTTCTGAAAGAGTATGTTCTCAGCCTGGATGTTATCTATCGTGCCTCTTGCAGTACGCATGCTGTAACTTCGTATGAGGTACAAGCCCAGCACATCCCAACACGATCGACTTGCCTTGGCATCCGGAACATGGACTGTAAGCGTTTGCCCACCTCATCTCACCCGCATTGTCCTTAAAGCAAGATGATGATAACATTCGGGAGCTTGAGGACTTATCGTCTCACATCTTGTGGCGCGACCGTCCCAACATCAGCCTCGCCAGACCAAGGAAGTTTGTTAGCTGCCCGGCGTGTACACCCAAAAGAGAAATAGAGAAGGATCAGCGGTCAAAAACTGCCGATATTGTATACGTCGAGGCTGGCTGAGTTTCGTGCAGGCTAGAGCGTACCTCAGGGTGGTCACTGACTGCTGACTGCTGGGGACGCATGGAGACGCCACAGCGCCGACTCATTGAGCCAGTCCTTCAAGGGATAGCTTGATACCAGCATTGACGCTACAGGGCTGTGGGGAACATGCACCAGCAACGACGTTGGTCGCACGTCGGCACCAGCAGTGCTGCTCACCCGTGGAAAATTCGCCAGGCGTCACATGTCTCGGCATTCGCTGCCATGTGTCAATTGATGAAAGAAAGGACCCTGTATCAGGCACTTCGAGTCGAAAGGAGAAGTCGAGGAAATCTGTCAAGTGATGTCAAGTATTGTCAAGATTGTCAAGTGCATGTAGCAGGGTGCAAACACAGCGCATGCTCAGACAGCAGGAACGGGTTCGAACTCATTTGCTTTGCTACTGACTACTGGGCATGTGCCGAACGCATCATCAGTGCTGTAAGATAATCAGATAATGTTTCCGGAGGACAAGAGAGACATGCAACGGACAAATGCAGAGAGCCAAGCTCCTGCCGCAATTGGCAAAGTGGGTATTTCACGCATGTTTCACACAAAGAGGAAGATCTCCGGTGTTAAGTCGAGAAGACCCAGCCTCCAGGCTTGTGATTCCTACGTTGAGGATGACAGGTTCAAGGCTTGCAGCAGTGCTTTCCGAGATGCCCAGATGTTTCAGTGCTTGTTCCTGATGGATGCGCTCTGGAGTGCTCGAGTTTGTAATGGAATATGCATGGAGGCTGCAGGAAATCCGCTTCTATTTCTTCTCGTGATGGCCCGTCGTGGCAAGAACTCTCCAAGAGACGATTTGGGACACCATCGTTGCAAGCTGTCGCCATGTGTCGTGAGTGCGAAGTAGTTCTGACCCCGAAACACTTGTGCGCATCTTTGAGCTTTGTTTGTGGGCCAACGGCTCAGCTTCTAAGGCATTTAACAGGTGATACCGAAGGAAAGAAGGGACCGGTAACAAGACTTAATATGTGGAAAATAGAAGGGCCCTGCCATTCGTAAACAAACTGCGGCGGGCGAGGCGAAAGCGTTTTCGAGACAAGACCACGAATCAAACGGGTGATGTGTCGTGAGAAGTTGGCGCTGGGGGTGCATCACGCGAGTCAGGAGAAACAGAGAGACGCTACAAGGTGCCCGCCAGGATCAAGAAATTCTCAGGAAGAGAGGCTTTGCAACGCGTGCGACTGTTCGCCGCGGAAACTTCGTGCGGACACAGGGCCAACTCAAGTTGGCCCCAGTAGCTGATCCACTCTGAATGGCATGGTTGGCGCCCGGCACACAGTCCTTGCAATATCTCGCGGCGCAAGGCAGGAAACTGCGTCTTTGTCCGCGAGTTTGGCTGGTTCATCGTTTGAGCGCGCATGAATGGGGGCGTGTGGTGAATATTTGTCAATGCTTAGCCGTTCTTGGCGTTGTGCCCGGTTTCTTCGATACAGGTAGTTTATGTAAGCGCTAGGCCATTAAACAGCTTAAGCACGAAGTGTCCCAACATGGCAGCTCTTGGAAAGCCGTGAATGCCAGCGATGACTGAGCTGCTCGCCAGGAAGTCTGTGATGATTTCCGACTATTGGCCACGGTAGGTAGTGGTTCTTGCAGTGGCAATGAGGAGGCTTTGATGTTTGGCTTGTTTTGTGGTTCGAGACTTGCCATGTCTTTGAGGGGTTTGGGGGACCAATGATTGCTATATGGCTTTGACATTCATACCAACATCGTATAATGCTACTTGTTGGAGGTTTCAGGGAGGTTTCAGTAGGTTTTCGATCCAATCTCAATTTAGACGACGTTCGTGAAAGCATGAATTTCTGGGAGAAGTAGATAAGACATGGCAAGCCCATATATTGAAACCTCCTCCTCGCAATAATGGAAACATACTTACACACCGAATGTTGAATCATCACAGCTACCAAGGAAAGAGCTTCAGGCCCGCAAAAAACTGGTCGGGTTCACTGCCCTCAGAACTGTAAGGTCTGATGGCGCAAGGAGGGAACCAGCTGAAATCGATGACATGTTCGACAAGCGGTTTGACAGTGCGCATGTCATGGCTGGTTGAGAAGCCATCGGTGCAGTATCAGAAACCTTCATCTTAGGGGTCGGCGGATGCGCAGCTTTGACTGCGGCGGCAGCACACACACAGAGAGGTTCGTAGTGTCTCTCTCTCTCTCTCTCACGCCCCGTCTCTCCCTTCCTCGTTAAGAATTGCTTCAGCCGTGCCTAGACGTGAATTTCAAGTAGATGCGGATGGTGGCCCAAGAATATAGCACCACAAAGGCCATCGACATTCAACAGAGGCTAGGCTTCTGAGTGTGCCAACTACTGACTGAAGGCTGTTTAGACTTCCCGAAGCGGTGCATAACATCTAACTGCCATAAGGACTTCATGCAGTGCGGTGTGTTGGTGGCAATGAGAGATAGGTCGGAGTTCCCCCTCACCCACCGGACGTGCGTTTTCCTGGAGCGTTGACCGATTTAGACGAGCCAAATCAGATGTCGCTGAAAAAGGCACTATTGCAATGGCATGTTGCCGGAAGACCCCTAAGCTGCCACTTACAGACTTGCCCGCTTGTCCGAGTCATAATGGATTGAATCTGACTTGACTCTCCATCAACAGGTGGTGAAGTTTCTTTGCCAGGCACGGTCGCTGGACGGGACGTCCGGAAATGTGGGGGAATCACTCGTTAATGACGGATAGCACGGGCGGCATTACGGAAGGCACCTGCTGAGGCACAACAAGGTTTTTTTTAAGGGGTCCTCACTGCGCTTTGATTTCTGATTGGCTTAAACTCGCGCGCCATTGCAGTTTGCACATGGCCTGCAGTACTGGGCAGTTAAAGCCATCAGCGGGCACCCAAGGCCGCGCACCTCAACAAGTCGCCCGGGGTGCTGAGTACCTCACTGGACGCATGCGTGCGCAGCGCTTTTCCCTTCTAACATCCCCAAACGAGCGACTTGTCCGTACACGCAGAATCTTCACGCAGTCCCGAGTCGCAGTCCCTGTCTTTGAGCAGGCGAGGGCAGACATGGAGGAATCCCTGGAGGGCGGTGCCACAGCTCTCATTGTCGCAGCATACAAGGCCCCACCGCACTGCATCTGCGGTTCAGTAGCCGGGCTGATCATGTGCATGTTCAGAGATACCGGCCACCAGGTTGGTGACCCTCGTCCTTTCGGTCTCCTCTTTCCCCGCCCATCGCTCTGGCCTGGCGATACGAGCCGAGAAGATCGGGTTTGAATTGCATCGGAGTCCTCTACCAACCGTGTTGCGGCTTCACAGGTCCTAGATGGAGACACCGAATTCGTTGTGCTACGCACAAAGCCTGCACCTAAGAAGCTTAAGCAGGTCAGGACAAGTGGACGGTAGGAGTTCCCAACCTCCATGCGAAAAGTCGCTCTCTGAAAGCCTTGCGAAGCGCCCCAGAACCATGCAGGGAGACGTTGAGGTGGTCCAGCTTCTTTGCGAGCTGAAGGCCTTCTCAGTATGTGTCTTTGCCGGTTTAGGTATCGGATGTATCGGACAATGTATCGGGTTCGACGACTCTTTGTTGAACCTGAGACTCTAGCTAGGAAGAAGCGACCTCTCAAATCGGGGTGATCGGTCTTCCCTGAAGTTCCACAACGCCAGGCAGACGTGAATCGTCCACAGTCGGACCATGCTTCTCCTCTCTTCGTGGTGGCCGAGAACTCGCAGACAGAAGGCGCCCGCCTGGAAAGCGTTACGTCACAGTGTAAAGCCTGGAAAAAGCCATGCCTGTTGCACCACGAGCACCGTCCAGCTGTGAACTTGCCAAGAGTCGATTAAAGAGTTGTGAAGCAAGCCAACTTGCTCGTGTAAGTCGGAAAAGCCACTCGTAGGTTGTGCACAGGCTTCCTCGCCATCTCAACTCAACTTCGACTCATAGACTCGGCCTGCTAGTCACGACAAAACCCTCATACTCCTCGATGGCACAACCGTCCGAATCCTTCGCGTCATGGATTGCCCATGAACCTGCTAAGCCGAACACATGTTGATCCCACATGCCATGCTTTCACTGCGCTCAAAAGCATAGCTGCAGCCGTGCGGCCGTGCTGATACTGTAGCCGCCTTAGCAGCGCTGACTCGTGACTCGTCATTTTGCAGGTGACCGAGTTCTTCGAGCTTTGCTCGAAGCCGGCGCCGAGAAGGACCGGGGGCCGCTTCTACACCTTTACACCCGAAACGCTTTCTGGATGTTGCCGCTCGGTTGCGGGGTCCAGAAACTGCACGCTGCAAACTTTCAAGCTCCTTGCTGAAGTCTCCTGCAGGACCAAGCAACGCAGCTGGACGCTCAGAGCTACTGTCCCATAGAGATCATAGAATGTAGTCCAGGATGTAGACGCATGCAGGGCTTCCTGTACGAGGCACAGAAGATCAACAAAGACTGTTGCTCGCGTTGAAGGGTTGTTTCAAAAGAGCTTCGCAATTCTACAAGAGTTCAGATCTTTGTGTGAGCCTGGTTAGCAAGAGCGGATATGTTTTTAGATCCAAGCCATGAAACTACAAGAGTCCAGTAAGCAGGAGAACAGAGACACACGAAAGCATCAGCGAAAAGTGCAGTGCGGGCAGCACTCGCCAGCAATGTGACTAGGGAGCTTTTGCCAGCACAAATGGAACCCTACAGTAAAAGCGACACCAACCACGCCTATCCAGACATCCTTGAGATCAAAGGTACCTGCCAACGAAAGGCTGCCTAAGAGTAGTGCAAGCTTGGTTCTTGAGTTTTGCAGAGTTAAAGTGCGAACAGCCATACACTGAAGGAGCGGTCGTACCCCACTGCTTGCAGCGGTTCGAGGAGGACGCGTCGCGCTTGTGCGAACACTTTGCGAGCCCCTCGGTGGCAGTGCGTCATCCTCAGTACGGCCGAGAGCGCTAGATTTGTCATGTGGTTATGATAGTTTCGAGCATCACGGCCGCTGTTACCGCAGAGGTGAGTTTTTGGTATGTTGTGAGGATCGTCATTGCTGTGCGAGTTGTTCTTCCTGCTTGTGTTGCTGATTCCGCTCCTATCACCGCTGTCATGGTGGGGGATGCACTTGAGGGTTGAACTTGTTCCAAGTATCCTCGTTGCAGTTCCACACTGTCAGCGTGGCATGCACGTATTACCCTATAGAGATGTGTAGGCACTGACTAGCGCAGTCGCACTGACACATAGGGCCAAAATGAGAACCTGTGTGAATACATAGTAATTGCAGCTGCTTAGCCTCAGCATGACATTTAATGACTAACACGGTGCACGTGGCAAATCCTCTCGACCCCAGATACTCGCGAGAAGCATGTCATCCACGCGATTGCAGCAGAAGTGCAGCTTCTGATTGCCTGCGCCAGGTATCGTGCCGACTTGAACAAGGCCAGGCAGCGGAAGCCCTGACATCCGAGAATTTCTCTCCGTAGCTGTATCTATCAGAATCTATCACATACTCACAGGTGCAGCCAGATAATGCCAGATACGTATTTGTACATGGTCGGGTCTAGTCATATAGTCAGTGCATAAAAGTTTGTAGACGTAGGACTGACCAGAGACGAGCCGGTGGCGCAGTGATTCAAGACCAGTGTGGCACCAATTTAGCCCTCCGCTTGTTGGGTACGGCATGCATGGGCGCTTCACTTGCGATTCTGGGGAACTGCTACCGGTCTGACCTGCTCCTGCTGACAAAACTCTGTTCCGGAACCTGGATATGTCGCGGTGGCAAGCTCATTGGGGGACGCTGGCCCATCCCGAGCACTGTTGTGTCCGACGTCATGAGCAAAGAGGTCTGTCAAAACTGCCACACCAGCAGAGCTCCCCAGGAGCCGGAGCAGTGGCAATCTCACGAAGTGCTTGTGCGTTGCATGTCCAGCACCTGCCTTCCGTAGGCACAGTCTTCTTTGATGTATTTTGAGGGTCTCGTATCACCTCGGTTCAGCAGCGGCCGTCAGACCCGATGCACCGCGGCCGATGCCAGCATCCGCATACCGGGAGGGAGGGGATGGGAGGGAGGGCGAGCGAGAGAGAGAGAGCGAGTCGGGCTCAGGTGGGGAGGCAGGTCAGGCTGGGATAGAAAGTTCGCAGAACAATGCCGACGGCATTGAACCCGGAAGGCATGACACACAGAGCGGGGAACAACACATGGGGGTTTTTGGCCGGTGGTTACAGCTGTTCGGTACCCATGTCCATGCCGAGTGGAACACCATCATGTCAAAAAATGATGGCAAACAAGGTTCAGGGATGGGGGTGGGCAGGTACCAGGCAGTGCTGTGCGCAAGGCTTCAGTTCGGGCTCAGGTGGGGAGGCAGGTAAGGTGGGGCTGCAACCTTTCAGTTTCAAAGCCGGGAGGGTGGAGCTCAACCGGCAGGAGATACTTGCTTATTGTCTTTTCGTGCCATTCCAGTTGATGTAGGTGTTGTGACTGTATGCCCTCCTGTCAATAACCGACCGTTGGAGTGCTCGTGGAAGACCTGGCTGGTGCCTCAAGGGACCAGCGGTGACGGTCTTAGAAGGGGTGTCTGTTCGGGGGGGTCAACAAAGGCGCAGTCAGGGGAACACGATGTACACTCAGCCCCGAAAGGGGCCGTGCCGACAGACATTTGCGCGCCTAGGGGGTAGGCCTTCGGGCCAGGGTTCCCCAGGGGACCCATACCCCAAGCAAGCAAGCAAGAGGCCTGCTCCGTTCCTCTCAATGTCAACTGATATCACTCGCTCGAAGCAGCGAAGAAAGCATGTTTTTCTTCAAAGCCCCCACCTTTCCAAGCTCACGCTACGCTGACAATCGGGGGACCCTCTTAGCATGACATACTCTCGCACTACTCTTAGGTTGCAGTTCCGTTCTCGTTTTTGTCAGTCTACGGGGGAGCAGTGACAGCCGAACCACACCAGTCTGCAGTCAAATCTGTTCTCATGATAAGTGCCTTTTTGTTTGCTTGTAGTAGTGTCGAGTCGCAGCAAAGTGTGAAGGGGGATGCGGTCCCGTAGTCGTGAAGTTATCTTTCCGGAGTTGTGCTGTTCCAGACGAGGGATCGCGTTCCTGGCTGAATGTAAACCCGAGCCTTGAGGGAAAAACCCGTGAAGGGACTTGTCGCACCAATGAACCGCGGGTGTGCGACTGCGCACGAAGGAGGTAGCCTGGACGCTGGCTGTGAAAGTAGATGCAGACAACTGGAACCGCGTGAAGTCCAATGGTGTCCTGTAACCTCTTCCTCTTGGGGGCGTCACAATAGTTGCAATTGCTTGCGTGCAGGGGGAACAGGTCATGCACAGTCTGACTATGCAGACAGAGAGTTTGGTGATGTTGGGGAAGTCGTGCTTTTCACTTAGGATGTAGCTAGTATGTAGCTTGTATGCTAGTTTCCTGCTTGTGCCTGACACCCCTATTTCGTAGAGAACGGTGCTGAGACGAGTTGTCCACTTACGACAAACTGCGAGACGGGGACACAGTTCCGGTAACCGCCTTGGTGCAAGATGAGGCCAGAGGATGGCGTTCGTACAGGGGGTTTCAAAAGTTGCGAGCCAGTACGCCTCATTTTGCATAGCTTTCGCAACAAGACCAGGGGAGACCAGGGATGACCAGGACGCGCACGCGCGCAGTGGGTACGGGGGACCGTGCTCCTTTGGCTGTGTGGAAGAAGAGAGAAGCCTGCTGTTGGCAAGTGGGCCTGGGGCCCGGGCGCACTGACTCTGCCCCTACGCCCGAGAGAGCGAGAAGGAGAGAGAGGAGTAGGCCTTCGGGCCAGGGTGCTTGCACCCAAACCCCAAGCAAGCGCTTCTCCCCCAGGCTGGCAGGGGTTCACATGGGGGATGCGTTTGCTTCACATGTGTTGTTACCCGATCTTACTCTACGAACCTCGCCAGTCTTTTCACACCTTTCTGTCCAGCCGAGCCCCCTTCGATCAATGCTCGACGGGGGAAAGTCACAGACCCGGTGGACTGCGGGTGCGCGTTCGCGCGCAGGGCGCGGGGCTGGACCACCCTGTGTCCTTGTCCCTGTAGAGAAGGGGAGGGGGAGAGAGAGAGAGAGAGAGATTTTAAAAAAATGGAGAGGCCTGTGGGTCGCTTGTCGACCCTTACACCCGGCAGAAAGAACACGAGAGAGAGAGAGAGAGAGAGAGAGAGAGAGAGAGACAAAGCCCGCTGAGTCTTCCCTGGTACGTGTACTGTTTCCCGAGAAAGCACCATTAACCTTGGAGGGGCTTGACCCGCCCCTCTTACCCGGCGGAAGAGAGCCCACAAATGTTGGCGGTGGCCGACACGCTCAAGGTTGCAAACGCACGCTTCAACAGACCAGGGGAAGTGGTAAAGAGAGCAGCGCAGCGCTGTGTCTCCTAAACCGCTATCTCAATTCAACACTTTTTTTCCGCTGGGGAGCCTGTCCAAGCATTTTCCTTGGAGCAGGAGCTGTTGTTTCAAATGTTCGGGAACGATACAGCGACGAGTGGAGCTTCACCTAGATGGTAATAAGCATATTTGGCGACACATCACATCAGTCGAAGCACGATGCAAAGGAGTAGACTAAGTTTAGTTCGACATCAGCACTTCACATCAAGAAACGAACGTCATGCACAAGCTCTGTGATGGGATACCCGGTTTTGAGAAAACATGAAGAACGTGCCGCTCAACTAGCGTGCTGTTTGCTTTTGACTTTGCTGTAGCTGCTTTGGCTGCGACTAGAAGGTGGTGGAGTTGCACATGCCAACACACATGAGAGGCCCACCACTCAAAGCAGAGCAAGGTCTTGCTGCTGTCGCCTGCCGCTCTCGCCCAGACATGGCCCATGCATTTCTGAGACCCGTTCTCCCGTTCTGCGTTTGCGAGAAGCTTTGCAGGCGGCAGACAGCGGCTGGTCACCGCACCCTGGCACCAAGACTGACGGAACGGAGTAAGTCGGATGCACATTGCCCCGAACATCTTGCAAGATCTTTCCCCCTAAACCCTGCACACAAGTGGGTACAAATCTGCTTTTCAGCCTTGCGTGTCCCCCAAAATAGAACGGAGTAAATCCTTGCAGGCTTCTGCTGGCTGTGCAGAGAGGACTGCTGGAGGCTGGGCAGGGAAGATTTGGATATAGTATTGAAGTCATAGAAGCTGCGTCTTGCAAGCGTAGTACTCCTCACACACTCCCCTTTTGCTGGTAAATGTGTTAAAGTATGGACTGGTGCCAAAGCCTCAACATGAGAAACTGTGAGCAGGCTGCCGCTGCCCAATCTGAAGCCAGTGCAAGAGCGCATAGGCCGCGCCAGCTCTGAACGCACGACCGCTCCTGCAAAGGTTGTGGACTGCCTCTGCGATGCCAGGGCCGGCATTGATGTTACCATGAAGGACAGCAGCAGGGCAAGGGACGCGTCTGTTGAGACATTCTTGGACGGGAGGGTGCCACCACGCTGTGGAACGTTGGTGTGAGGTCGATCTTGAACAGCTCCTGCAGCCTCAGCTGGCCCATACAAATCCACTCATACATCTTTCAGTACCTCATCAAAGTAATCAAATTCCAAGCAGCTTACCTACATTGGTCTACATGAAGGCATAAAGTCACATGAGCAGAGCCGGGTGACCAAGTGGTTGCAACTGGAAGAGCTCCCTCTGAACTGTGACAAGGACGGATCTACCGCCCTTCACTTGGGGGCACGGTGTGGCTTCAGCAAGACACTCGCTTGGAGAGCTTGAGGTTTTTTCAGTTACATACCACCAAATTCAAGGAATGACAGGATCTTGCTCGATCTGCATGTCGGGTTGCAGCACAACGCCAGATCTTTCAAATCCCATCCTAAAGCGGCGGTGCCTCTTCTGGCTTCTCTTGAGCAGGCGCTTTCGGGTGGGCGTTGTAGGTTTGGAGCCCGTGGCAGGTTGAGGACTCACGAGTTTCAGGTCTCGGAGCTCTCCGAACGCGTAGTAGACCAAGCTAGTTGCGTGTGCTTGGAAGCAGGTTGTGTGAAAACTCAACAGAAGCATTTGATAGAGAAAGACCAGCCTGTGTACTATCTGCAATACGAGGCATCATGTATTTTGACTACTCGTCGAGTCGATATTGTTTGCAACATTGGAAGCTCGGGATCTTCGAAGCATGTACTCGCATGATTTATGGTTTGTCTTGCAAGATCCTATGGAGGGTGTGTTCCTGCTCTTCCTCGTCGCACACCTGCCTTCAATGTTAATCGGGTGGTTGGCGTCAGAGATAGCTCCCAGGATCTTGGCGCGTCTCTTGGAGGCCGGGGAGGTTTGAAAGGGCAGACATCATCTTATCATGCGCGTTTGATTTGCCATTCACAAGACGTCAACCCGTTTACTTCGTCTGGTCGTTTCGAAGCCCACAGGAGCCACGAGTTGCGAAACACTCAGAGAACGTCTGAAGAGCTCTTGAACACGGCACAGCAGCTAGACTTCCGCAGAGGATCCAGACTTTGCTCATTGCTCAAACTTCAAGTCTCAGTCTGAGAGGCGGGAGCGGACATCGACCGGCAGCGCCTTGATGGCTGCACCCCACTCCATGCTGCCGCCTATGGTACCCCCCGGGAGAAGAGGGCAGCCTGGGGTTCTTTTCCTCACGGGATTCCTCCCAAGGGTTTTTGTTCGAGTTACATCCCGGCTGCATGCTGCCGCGTCCACAGAAGGCGTTTTGATGCGGTTTTCTTGATCCAGGTAGCTATGGCCACACGAAGATGAAGCATGAACGACAACACACGAGACACAAGCAATGTCCATGTCTAGTAACTTAGTATGAAGTGCAAAATAGTGCTCTGTGTGTCCCGGTGCCGGAAGTCGTGGCCTTGCGGCGGAGCCTACGGCCAGCATGTGTCAGTCTGCGGTCCCATGCGATTCCCAGCTTCAGCCCGGGGTGATCCCGAACGAAAAGAGTGAGTTTATGTTAGGGTTTCGGACTTAGGGTTTAGGGAGTGTCGCCCAGCACAGGCTTTCTTAGCCACGGAACACACTCGTACAGTAGCTAATGCGATCCAATGCGGTGCCATAGCCCATAGAATCCATAGAATGTCACATCAAGTCGCAAGTAGGTATGGCTTATTGGAAGATATGGCAAATACAGAAAGATGACTGCCCCGAGAAACCTGTAAGTACCTAGTACAACTATTACTACTAATCTGTGATACCCTCCATTGATCCTTTGTGTTACAATAGACCTTGCAAGACACAATAAGTAAGTCCTGGCATGATTGCACTCGCAGCGTGCAGTAGACAATGGCACTAGTAGTGCCTAATAAGTTGGCATCCTGATAAAAGTTTTGTATAGATAGAAGTCAGATGATGTCAGGCGATCACCTCGACGCCCTACAGCTCCTTTGTGATGCTCGAGCTTCCCTGGCCCTTTGTGACGCAAGCGGCCCTCGGGATGGCAAAAAGGGCCTCCGGTTTTTTAGCGTTCTGGGCATGGTGGGTTTTTTTTGGGGGTTCCGGGTTTGAGGCCCGACCCTCCTTCCGGATACGAGCGAGCTTTAAAGCTTTTGGACATAGGTTTTGTGCGATTTAGCGGTGTGGGAAGCCCGGTGCGGCACGGGAGTAGGTGAAGGATTTAAGATGGTGACCGCAAGGGTTCCTATTGTCAAGAGGCAGACTGAACGCGGCCGATGAGAAGTGTGATCCGCAGACTTTCGTTCGTGCCCAGGAATAATCAGGAATGCATGGAACACAATGTTGAGACATGATGAAGCCTTGAAGGCCACACTGCGTGGGAGGTCGCACAGATGCTCGACCATGATCTGGCAGCCTCGTTCCTTTGGGATGTGGCCAGGAGTCCGATGCACAGGAACTTGCAGCATGTCGCTGTGCTTTTTATATCTTTTTACCCGGTAGCCGGGTGCAGGATTGCTGTTCCTGTGAAAGTTTCTTCGGCGAAGCTGTCGAGCCTGCCAAAGACGAAAACGGCTTAGCAAGCCAGGAGCAAAGGCCGTGTGGTGCCTGAGCGAGTCATGGCAAGGCGCAGCCGCCGCCCCAGCGTTTCCGGGTCGTGGAGGGGTGCTGTAGGGACTACATGATCAAGCCATGAATGGACACTTCCTCCGGCCCTTCCGTGTTGCTTCTCGTCAAGCAGAACATGATGGGTGTCCCCCCACTTCTTTGTAACACTCCCAAGACTTTGCCGCGGTGCGACTTGGTCAGCTGGGCGGGTGGGCAAAAACGAAGAACAAGTGTGGATGCTGGCTTGTTGCGCGCTGAAATTTGGCGAGGTTATCTGACTGATATTTAGGCCCAGCTCGCATCCGTGCTCTCCGCGGGTGTTTGCAAATGTTTTAAACTGTTAGTAATAATCAAAACGAGCATCCGGCACAAGATAAGCGGGACTCGGAGGGCTTCTCATCGACAGCCTGCAGTCCATCAGGGGATCTGAAGTTTCCAAGGCCACATGCTTGCTTTCGGCACGGACGTGGAGTTTGCGATGATGGTTGCGCTCGCACTCATACCTTTTGCCATCCGGCCTGCACTTTCCAGAAACCTGCTGAGCATGGTGTTAGTATCCCAGCTATCGTTTCTACACGGGCGGGTATGTGCTCAGATTGCATGTTCAGCTGAAATGTTGTCAGGCCGGTGATCTGAAAGGTGAGGACGACGTTAGTTGGACAGACAGCTCACCAAGGTTCTGACCATCCTGTCCATACTCGTCGCTGCAGCTCTATGGATCCTTGCTTGGCAACAAGAGGCAGAGTGCATAGGGCCATCATATGGCAGAAGTTTCCACAATTGCTATGTAGATAGCGGTCAAGCAACATGAAGTGTTCGCTTTTGCAGGGGGCCCATGTTCCGAGTCCATGGCTTGAGAGTTTCCTCCACAGCTAGTACCAGAATCTTCGCACGGACTTCGATCCGAGGCAAAAGCAGATGGCTGCAGGTAAGCTACAAGAGCTGTTCCAGACATTGGTGCTGCAAGGGGCTTGAGTAATGTATTTCCACGGGTCTGTCGCCATATCAGTAGTTTTAGATGCATGCTTGACGAGTCACGTTCGAAGAAGGAAGTATACCACCTCTACCAACGACCAGAGGCCAACAGAAGCTGTCGGCAGCAATTCGAAGGCTTGTCTTACGCTGTCTTACACCATCAAGAAAGTCCTCCATCACTAGACTGTCTCACCCCTGGGAGCTGCATCGAATGGGGGGAGCATGTGCGGCCCCGGCTCGGGATCCCGGCAGATCGGTACGAGCTCAGGGCTGCCCCGCCTTTTTCCACCCATCCTCAGAAGCTGATGCCGAAGGCTCGGCGCCTGCGGCCGCGAAAGCGGCAAACCCAAGAAGGTCTGCGTGGTAAAGAGAGCGTGACCGACAGCAGGGGACCATGGTGACGAATGCCATGCTCTCATGGAATAGTTGGCGCTCAACTAACATACGCTCCTATACAAGTCTGCACATGATGAGTTTGGTCTGTCGCTCGAACACTGAAACCCGCCCGGACCCGTAAACATAGCCCTGGAAAGCCAAGACTAACCAACGCTTTCTTCGGGAACCTCCTTCGAACCTGAGTGTTGCCTCTATGAACACAGTCTCTGCAATGTCCGCCTTCGCGGCCTGCAGCTTTGACTGCTGCCTTGCGAACACTCGTGTAGTATCGCTATTTGCTGCCAATTGTGCCATTCAGGACTTTGCTACAATCAGCAGGAATAGCAGCATACACATCCTGCAGTCTTCGAGTACAAAACTCGCAACCCTAAAAACCCTGTAGGGTTTAGGGTTTAGGATATAATTACACCCTACAAACCCTACAAGCCCCGTCTTCTGCTTCTATTATCTTCTACGTGTGTCTTCGTCATCTGTCCTTCAGCCCAGAGAGCCCCCACTCCAAGCCCTACATATCCTAAAGCCTCGATATCCTAAAGCCTAGACCCTAAGTATCAGAAACCTTAAACCCCAAACCCTAAACCATTACTTGTGTGCCAGAAAAAACGGCGTGTCGTATGATCTATTCGGTTTTAGGGTTTAGTGTAATTTAGGGATGTACCGCAGCTTTTGGTTGACAGCTCCAAATCTCTCTGTAGCAGCCCCTCGTCCTCAAGCAGTAACATGTCCGCGGC